ATGTCCATTTGTGAACATACATCAGCATTTGTTAGGCATATATCTAGATGTGGAGTTGCTGGGTCACAGGACGTGCACATGTCCAGCGTCACCAGCCACCCTCCCTACCCCACTGCCCAGGGCTGTCCTCTTTCCTTCACCTCAGCTGACATACATGTGTGAAGTCCCCAGGGCACTTGGTGCGTGGCCCTCAGTATGAGGCGTTCTAGCAGTGGGCATGTATGTACTTTCTTTGACCCCATACAAAACACTAAACCTGGTCACTGAGAAGAAGCACAGACAAACACGCCAGATTACATGTGAGACTGGCCCAAATCCACACCTATAGATATCACTCCAGAAAAATTTGTATTCTAAAGTTATACTCAAAAGAAAAAATTCTCTTCACAAAGTTAGAGTTGAAAGACTTAGGGACAACAATAATGGCAAATATTCATTGACAGCATCCTCTGTGCCAACCTGACTGTGTACAGTGCTTCATCAGATTGTCAATGCCATGAGTTTCTATCGGCCTGTGATAAAAAGTCTGACTTCATTTTTGTTTGTTTGTTTTACTGTTGACAGTTTTCAAGCCCACGGGAAAGCCTGGGGGCTCCCTCCTGGGCACCTGTGGGAGGTTCAAGCCGCCCAAGCCGGGGCCCTCCTGTCCGGCCCTTGCCACAGCCCTGTGCCCTAAGCACGAGGAAGAGGGCCAGTCACCCCTGGAGCTCCCAAGTGCTCTTCAGACTTGCTGAGGACCCTGCCCTGCTCGCCACAGAAAGCCTCATTATGCCAGTAATTAATCTTTTTCTGCCCCTGACACGTGTCATCCATCCCAGCTGTCCAATCCAAATCTGGTAGAGGAGTCCATCCGCCTCCCACGTGGAAGGAGACACGCGCTCATTTTACAGATGAGGAAACCGGAGCTCGGAAAAGTCATCATTCATTCATTCAACACGTTGAGCGCACAGAGCGATGGAAAAGATGGACAAATCCCTGCCCGCATTAGAGTGCGGGACGTAGTCCACCGAGAAATGAAAGTGAATTGCTTTCAAATATATGAAAACGTGCACCCTCAAAACTAAATCGATACATATTAAAGCAAGATTTTAAAAAATGCATCGGGTCGAACAAGATCTAATGATGTCACAATGCACTGTGCTGGCAAGGATGTGACAAACAGGCACCCGCGTGCTGTTTATGGAGTGACGTGACGCCATTGGAGGGCTGTTCGATACCTCCATTAACATTTTAAATGTGACCTCCTTCTTCCTCAGAAACTCTACCTTTATGAAATTATACATAGCTAAAGAGGGGCAGGGCTCGACGCCTTCTTAAATAATGTGCATTTTATTTCTTCATAGGTCATTATAGAAAATTAGAACAAAACACACAGTCGGGAAGAAAAAACCCAATCTGTAATCCTAACACCCACGCAGAAGCCCGTCTGTCCAGTTTGCTGCTCCCTCTTTCTGACAGCGCAATGCTGCCTCCTAGTGGACTTCTTTGTTTAACTGTGTTCACTATTTCATCATTTCCTATTTTTAAAATGTACTTAATATTTTTTACTAAGTAGTGCACTCACATGGCTCAGTATTTTTTAAGACTATTTTTTTATTTTTAGAGAGAGGGAAAGAGGGGAAAAAGAGAGGGAGAGAAACATCAATGTGCGAGAGAAACATTGATAGGTTGCCTCACACACACACCCAACCAGGATCCTGGTCTACAGTTCAGGTATGTGCCCTGATCAGGAATTGAACCAGTGACCCTGGACGATGGCCACCCTACTGAGCCACACCAGTCCGGGCACGGCTTGATATTTTTAAAGTTCTAAATGGTATATAATGGTAATTCTCCCTTTCATTCGTGTTCCCCTCAAACTAGGTTTTTTTCCCCGTGGGCAACAATACTGGCCAATTCCTTGTATGTATTTTATGCACGCACCAGAATTCAGTAAATGAGTTTCCTTCTTTCTAGTGCCTGCCTTTGAATCATAAATAGGGCTCCTAAAAACTTAGAAAATCCAAAGAAAGCAATATTTCTACACAAAACATTTATTACTGCCTGATTTGTAATCAAGAAAAATCAGGGATAATATGAATTCCCAAAATCAGAATGACTGAGTTGTTACTCTAGCTGGATATACACTAGTAATCATTATGACATGTACTAACATAAAAAACTCTATCCCCCAAATTTTTAACACAACTCACAAAAGAAAATTTATTTTAAATCCCTCCTTTGGAATAAAAACACAATGATATACATCATTTTCAGCTGTCAAACAGAAGAGTAATTTTCTTCTTAATGACAATTATCAATTCTGAGGAGCATGTTATAAAAAGTATAGTTGTATCTGTTTTGTAACAGGGCAAATCAACTTAAGTTTTAAGAAACTTCATTAAAATACATCCTTCCACTCAGAAATTCCTTTCTTAGTGATCTAAACATAGAATAATCTCTATGCAAAAAATGTGGTCATCACCTTATTTGTGGTCATCACTTGTGAGTGAAAAAACTAATCTGAATGTCCAACTACACTGCAGGGGTGTCAAACTCATGTTCTCCGGGGGCCACATCAGCCTCGAGGTTGCCTTCAAAGGGCCCGAATGTAATTTTAGGACTGTATAGATGTAACTACTCCTTAACTAGGGGCAAGGAGCTTGGCACTGCCGCTGGGTAGAACCAAGGTGCCAGGCCGGATAAAACAAGGTGGAAAGCCGTGTTCGGCCCATGGGCCATGTGTTTGCCACCTGTGAACTACAGAGGATTAGTTATGTAAGGAGTGGTATGTTCACTTAGTGAACATGTTTGCAGAGACCTGGGAGATGTTTTTGAAGTTAAAATAAAGTTGAGTATATAGTTAAGATCATTCAATTGAACGTTTGGGGTGTTGGAACTCAGTATTTTCTTTCCATTGTCGTTCTTTTTTTTTTTTAAGATTTTATTTACTTTTAGAGAGAAGGGAAGTAAGGATGCAAGAGAGGGAAACATCAATGTGCGAGAGATACACTGACGAGTTTGCCTCGCATCACCTCTCGCACACCCCCAACTGGGGACCTGGCCCGCAACCCAGACATGTGCCCCGACTGGGAACGGAATTGGTGACCTTTTGGTTCGCAGGCTGGCACTCGATCCACTGAGCCACACCAGCCAGGGCTCCACTCATTCTTTAGTGAGCATTTAGAGAATATTTTTGCCCTGGCTGGTGTGGCTCAGTGGATAATAAAGTATTTTTTAAAGAGTACATAAACGATGAAATAGTGCACACGTGGGTCTGACCGAGCAGAATTCAGACTTAGATCCAGCAGCAAACCTAATGCCTTTACTGTTTTTTCATTTACTCATCACAGCCGCAGACCAATTTACTGACTGAACTAATACTGTAGAATAAGAGCTTATGTGAAAACTGGACTGGAGTCAAGTCTAGAAGTCAGTCAATGCACATCAGCAATCTTCACCCAAACCTCTCAGCTCTAGGGACTTAGGAGTTATCTTAAAGACACAGTGGGAATAATGCCCAGATCCCTGATGGCAGACTTCCCTTTTCTCCTCTTAGTCAGCGGTTCTCCAGAGCAAGTGTGCCTCTTTTCCTGTGCAGGGCTGTATGCACAGAACCGCACACTTCACTGTTTTAATCCATTTTCAGGAAGTTTTGAACATCCAGGACTTTCACTCTGCTCACCACCAGGCATTGTGTCTGCTCCCCCGTTGATTTATGTTTATTTGTGTATTGAGTCCCTGCCTTTCCCCCAGGGCTAGGAGTACAAAACCCTTTTGGGTCACGCCTGGCAGGTGTCACAGATCGGGAGGCCTGGCCGAGGGCTGCCCCAGCCCTGCTTTGCAGTTGGTGCTGTGCAGGGTGCGGGTTCCTGGAGGCTGAGCCGACTACTGACACTGACGACAAGCTGCCGCTGCCACCACACTCACGGGCCCTGGTGTCCTACTCCTCAGCCGCCTCTGCGGGGGAATATCCTTCCCGACGAATAACCTTGGTAAACTCTTTCTGCGAAGAAACTTTTTTAAATTGAGGTCACATTCTATCTTAATCAACCCCTTTAATTTGACCACTAGAACCCAATGTTGTTCAGTTAGTGTTGCACGATTACCAACTCCAGTTCAAAACTTCCTATCACCATATACGCACACCTCATATCCAGAGTCATCACCTCCATTTCCTCCAGCCCCATGCCCTAGCAACTTCTAATCAGCTGTCTCTTTGGTTTTACCTATTCTGTATTATTTCATATAAAAGGAACCAATCACAAATCAATTATGTGACGTTCAGTGCCTGGCTTCTTTCACTTAGCACGATGTTTTTGAGGTCGGTCCAAGTGCTGGTATGTTTCAATACTTCATCCCTTAGGGCTGAGTAACATTCCATCCAATGTGTACCCCACAATGTTTACCCATCCATCCCCTGATGGACAGTTGGATTGTTCCACCCTTTGGTTATTATGTATAACACTGCCACAAACACTCATGTACAAGTTTCTGTGTAGACATGCATTTTTATTTGTTGGGTATACACCCAGGAATAGAATTGCTGGATCATACAGTAATTCTGCTTAACTCTTTAAAAATCCACCCAAGTTTTCCATAGTAGCTGCACCACTTTACCCCCTCACTGGTAATGCACACGGGTTTTTATTTTCCCACATAGTTACCAACACTTTCCTTTACCCACTGAAGCCTTCCCAGTGGCTGTGAAGTGGCATCAGGAAGCTCTCCAGATGAGTTCCTTCCAAAGACGACACCCCAAGTCCCAGCCCTCACCAACAGTGTAGGAAGTGTTATTTCAACTGGTATTTGCCCAGGTAGATGGGTTAAAATGTCTCATTGTAGTTCAATTCTGTAATTCTCTTGGCATGAGGTTGTACACCTCTCTGCAAATGTGTAGAAAAACATTTTATAAGAGAAGCAGCTAAGATTTGGGCTAATTTTTCCAATGCACCCCTTCTTGACTCAATGAAGCACTGATTTCATCAAAGATTTTTCCACAAATGAACAGAAACATCAGGTGCATCCACAAGAGGCTATTAAGAGTTTATTATAAATTTGTTTCACGAGCCACAAGGAAATAAAAGGACTATGTACAGTCTTTCGGGAAACAGGCAGGGAGCTGAGGAGGGCCAAGATGACTCTAGGGCCTTGGTGGGTGCATTCCCGGGGGAGGGGGCCCTGTAAGGGAAACCAGACAATCCGTAAGAAGTAAGACTTGCAGAATAACGGTGAGACTCCAGAACAACGGCATAACAAACAAACAGGTCTGTGGTAACGTGGCCCCGGGGGCCCGGGCCTGGGCCTCTGTGGAGCTACTTTCATAACTCTGTGACCAAGGGTCAAAGAAGGCCTGAAGTAAGAGTAAGAAGTTTAGTCAGTGCCTGATCTGCAACTCAAATCCCCGTCCCTGTCCCAGCCTCCCGCTCCCTGCAGGATCCATCCATCAGAGGGGACGTAACGTGCTGACTGGAGGCTTACTTGGGACTGACCAGGTTCCCATTTGCGTTATAACACCCAAAAGCAGAAAACCCAGACTAGAGACACAGAAGTCACTGAGTGTGGCTGCGGGACATCTTAGAAGCCACTATGGCTTGGTGAAAAGAACACTGGTCTGGGAGGCTGGACACTGAGCTCTCACTGGGACTGTTTCCTTATCTGTAAAATGAGGGCTGATCTACGCCAGCATTTCTTAAATGGCAGTTAAAGAGCCCTGGCTGGTGTGGCTCAGTGGATTGAGCACCAGCCTGCCAACCAAAGAGTCGCTGGTTTGATTCCCAGTCGGGGCACATGCCTGGGTTGTGGGCCAGGTCCCCAGGAGGGGGCATGTGAGAGGTAACCCCACACTGATGCTTCTCTCCCTCTTTCTCCCTCCCTTCCTCTCCCGAAAAGTAAATAAATAAAATCTAAAAAAAAAAAAAAAAATACAGTGGTACCTCAGTACTTGTCATTAAATTCGTTCCGGAACTCATGATGAGTGCTGAAACTGACGAGCACCGAACAATGAGGTATTTTCTCTCGAGGTACAGCACCATGCCTCACACAAGTTTTGGCAAATGTGACAAGTCCCAAGCAAGGGCCAAGTGTTAAAACTTTTTATTTTTCTCCTCAAAATACAGTGAGTACAGGGTTTGATGAGTTCTGAGGCCAACGAGTACCGAGGTACGACTGTATATACTGAATAGTACAGCCAAGCCCAGAACCCCCTCTTACTTACTAAACACTACCAAACCACAGAGTGTAAGACAAGCCTTTCCTGGGAACCCTGGGAATGCATCACTTCACGTGCCCTGAGAATACTGCCTTGGACATTGAGAAGCACCCGGGTTCAGGGCTGCTCCAACTGTTCTAAACAGGAGTTAGGTCAATGTATAAAATGCTGTTCCCTCTTTCCCTTCTGGACTAAGTTGTCTGCTAAAAGTTCACTTCCCTAGGCTTAAGGCCTGAAAGCCCAGAGGGTATGGCCAAAATCTAATCTTCCCTCCACTTCCCATCCCAACAGGGCTCCAGGAAGGAAGTCCAAGTGACTGCTGTGAGCACTTACCTCGCATTCCTGGGGGAGGGGGCCGCATTCCTGGAGGGGGCATGCCCATCGGAGTTCCTCGTCCAGGGGGGATCCCCATTGGGGGACCCATGGGAGGCCTCATACCCGGAGGTGGGCCCATCATGCCTGCAAGAGAAAAGCCCCCAAAATACAGCTCAAGTGTCTGTCAAAAGGTAACAGAAAACCAAGCTGCCCACCAAGTTCTGAGACAGATGGACCATTCCACCCTCCCAGGATCCCCGAGCAAATGGGGACATGAGCCAAAGACGTGTGGGCCTCCCAGTGGCTCCTGTTCCTCGGTCAGTCAGTAAGGCTGGATTTCAGAGTAATCCTGCTTAACTATAAAAACTCATCATCAGTTTCAGTCAAGGTGTGTCTCATCATAAATCCAGCTCAGAATCTTTTCTCAATTACCAATGGTCTCCTTATGGGCTTCTCACCTGGAGGGGGTGCCCCTCGGCCTATTGGTGGGGGAGGACCCCCACGGCCTGGCGGGTACTGGGTTGGGGCCCCCGCAATACTGGCTGTGGCAGCAGCCGCAGCAGCCGCTACAGTGCCTCTTCCCTGTGGGGTCATCACCTGGGAGGACACAGGAAGAGAATTACGCAGAACAGTACATTCCATGCAGCATCCCGCTCTCCCCTCAACTCGGGAAAGAACAGCAAACACCAAATCTCCTAAGCTACAACTCGTGGCATCTGACTTCCTACTCAAAACCATCTTGCAAAGAAGATCAAGTTTAAATGCCCAATTCCAATCTTCTAGCCTAAGCTGAGGATACCCAACACAAATTATAGATAAGAGAGTATACTTCAAATGTTATCACAGAAACACTTTGCTCCAGTACAGACGACTAATACACCTTTCACGCATCTCTGCACTTCAATACCAGCAATGTAATTTCACACTGACAAGTTTTCCTTTTCAAAGTATTCCAGGAACAATACACAAAGCCCCGTGCATGAAATAGTGATGGCCTGACAGTCACAGGTTGGTCACTCTGGACTCTTCCCAGATTTAGACCCTCCCTCTATCCTTTATTTTAACCAGTAGACACTGGCGCCCTTCACCAACTCACCTGTTGGGATGGCCCGCCAACCCCACGAACTGGCCCGGCAAGCCCTGCAGGGGCCTGGGGCATGGGGACGCCAGCTGGGATGCCTCTGCCTGCAGCTCTGCCGATCCCGGGGCCACCAGCAGCTCCAGCAAGTGGCACTCGGGCAATGCCAGTCTGAAAAATGAAGTACATGCTAAAATGCTTGTAGCCTAGAGAATCACACATATACTTCAAAATGCCATTGCCTGGGGAGCCCCTTAGACTCCCAGGGCATCAGAACAACTCTCCACCTGGGTGTGATAACACCATCACTCCTTCACCTAAGATTGCATGCCCAGCTGTCGCCCCTGCAGCAGGCCAGAAGAGCCTAAAGGTAACTGTAGAGAAAAGTGCCACCACACAACCACCTATTCCCACTCCTGTGAAAATTAAACTGAATTCGGAAGGGTGTGGTAGTCAAGAGCACTTGACGACCTGGGGATTGTTTCCTCATCTGCAGATGATGGAGTGACAACGAAACTGGTTGTGGTCATGACGGTGTACAATGGGCTACATTAGAGTGATAAATTCCACTGGAAATGGAGATCAAGAGTTATGCATATGGAACCAAAAAATACGGTAACATCCCTTGCAGACATTTCTATTGGAAAAAGTTCAACTACTGTCCAAAAATCAGGAAATGACTATGATAAACTACTGTGTATTCACTTGAGAGAGAATTGTAGTCATTTCATTACCATGACTTATAGCAAGCAGAAAAATGTTTACATTAAGTGAAAAAGCAGAACTAGATATTACATGCATATTATGTGTTGAATACTAAAAAAATATATATGTGGACCAAAGAAATGTATTCCTTTGATGAAAAATGTCTTCAAATGAAAAAGAGAAAACAAATTTGGTTAAATTCTCTAAAGCCTGCTCTATTTCTAAATGTATTGCTAGAATGCCATTTATAGAACCAAGAATGCACTGGGATCAAGTGCCAATGTCATCACTTGCTAGCTGTGACACCCTGAGCAAGTTACTAAAACCCAGTTTTCATTTATAAAGTAGGAGTAATTTATCTCAAAAGATGACTGCGAGGATTAAATAAAATACTCAGTGCGCCCCGGCCATGCGGCTCAGTGGACAGGGTGTCATTGGACCGTTCACTGGTTCCTGGTCAGGACACTCACATGGATTGCGGGCCAGGTCCCCAGTTCGTTGCGTGAGAGGCAACCAATCAATGTTTCTCTTGCACATCAATGTTCCTCTCCCGCTCCCTCCCCTCCCATCTCTCTAAAAATAAGCAAATAAAATCTTAAAAAAAAAAATAAATAAAGCTTAAGCGCTTGGCGCACAGCATAAGCTCAATGATGGCCCTGCCCGGGCACCTGGCTCCGACTTACATCTTTGGGGGGAGGTCCCTCTACAGTCATTGAGACCAGGTTCTCCCCTCGAAGCAGCACCAGACCAAGGACTCTCTTCTCTTCTCTCTCTGCTTGTTTTGAGTTCTTTGGCCTGCAGACAGGTTTAGAAGAAACCAAAAAGCAAGTTTTAGAAAGAGGGTAAAGTTCATGTTCACCTACCTGAAGGCCTCCAAGGTTTTGTTTTCCACTCTCCTGACAAACGGCACATGAACTTTCCCTAAGACAGCTAGCTCCTCTACACAGTCCTCACAGGCTAACTCTGCAACCCAAAGTAGTTGTTTCCCATGCCAGGAGGATGCACAGAACAAGAGACAACAGTCCAGAAAGCCCAGCCCGGCTCAATGTCACTCAGCAACAACAGTCAGGTTACCCTTCCGCAGTCCTCTGCTCTCACTCTGTTCCCTCCCTTTGGCTTAAGATCTTGCCAGTGTCAGAAGGCAGCCAAAACAATTCCTCAGGTCAAGTGAATCTCACTCACCCCACTTATACGTGGGTTCCTTCCAGTGACAATTCAACCCCACGGGCCTATCACCACATTCATCGCTTCACACCAGAAAGAGAAACCATAAAGGGAAAGTGAGGGTTAACTACACAGGAACTACACCTCTGTCCTCAGAGCACAGAAACAAAGATTTCCTAGCAGCCATAGCCATAAAAGGATAAACAAAACATGAGTGTGAACTGGAAAAATAAACTACAACAACATAGGGGAACACAAGAAAAGCCCAAAATCAGTATACTAAAAATAAAGGAAAGAAAAAAGAATATACCTGAATTTAAAAGCAAACTTAAAGGTTTCATTTTAAGGCTATGTTATATTAAAGTAACAGTGATTTTCTGTGGATGGACATTTTTTTCCCCTTTTTGACTTATCTGTGTTTTTTTAATTTTTAAATAAAAGTACATAGTGCCCTTTTACCATCTTTAAATAACCCTTCCGGGCATTTTAACTTTGTTGTCATGTATTTTTCTGTATTTTTAAAAAGTATTTTCTAGTAAACACTTTTTTATTATCAGGCTAAAGTTAGTTTCATTTGTAAAACGAAGAGAACCGTCTGGCACAGCCCTACGCTGCTATGCTGGCCCTGCTGTAATGCACACACCGCACTGTGTGTCCTGCACTTCTTAACCTCCTGCCACAAAGAAACCAACAGCCCCTGAGGGAAGAAAGGGAATTCACAGCTGCTGACCACATAACATGCAATGCACATGGCAAAAGACAGCTGGATGAGCATGGAAATCACATAACCTCTTTGGGCCTCAAGATGCCTTCAATGTAAAAATAGAACAAAAAACTAGACCGCATAGTTTAGTAGGCCAGAAACTTAAGATCTGAGCGTCTTAATATAAGGGAGTTATCCAATAACTTATGGAACTATGGGAAAGTAGAAAAGTCCAATTGTTTCTATGAATGCCAAGAAAAATCACTGGCCCCAAACCCACAGGGGGAGCTGAGCACTTACCCTGAAGAGGGTCAGAGGCTTCTTAAAGCAGTTTCAGGCCAGGCTGCAATGGGAGAGCCCTTTAGGCTACAGCTTTACAAATAGGCAATGAGGCCAGAAAATCAAGCTCTCCCCCCTCACACACCTGTGGGGAAAACAGGAGAGCCCTTTACCCCAGTACCCAGGGGCACAAGAAGGAAAGAAACAAAAAGCCTAGCAGCCCTCCTTACAACCTGTAATGTGCTAGAACTACAGAGCAAGGCTTGCTGGGCTAAGGAAGGAGATTTCTTAGAGTCCAATGTCACCATTTCAATCTGCCCTCTAGAACAGGGAGAGCAAACCGACAAGCAGCAGCTACCTACATCACCACCTATCACTTGGACCACCCACCCAATCTCCTCCTCCCAATCCAACCCCCCCCCACAGCCCACTCCTCACTTGATCTTCCTGAATTCATCACAATCACATAGGATCAAATTCATATGCTTGTCGAAAGCCTTGAAGGTGCCAATGAAGATACGACCATCTTGCAGGATGCACCTCATCCTGTAGTCGATGTGCTGCAGCATCTTGCTGCTCTTGCCCACAGTCTGCAAGGAGAAATCAGCAGGGAGATTGAGCTCTTCTGGAACCACATACCCCTTAGTACTCCCTAAAAACTTCTGCTGCGGCCTTCTTTTCCGTGTGTGTGTGTGTGTGTGTGTGTGTGTGTGTGTGTCCATCTGTCTGAGTACAGCCAGTCCTTTTCCCAGGAATTCTGCCATGTCAGCCTGTGTTCAGCCTTGACCTCTGCCCACTACTGTTCCCCCCTTTCCCTTCAAATCATCGCAGGTTACAACTGCCTTTGTTTAGGCCAGGTACATTTCTGGGGTGAGCTTGTAGGATGTCTCCAAACTAATCCAACCCATCCACAGCAGAGATCAGCCAGCTGCCATTGTAAAGATTACTAGAGTGACTCCGGTGCTGTATCACACCCACACCTCACTAAAGGGACTGAGTAAAGGAGCTGGAATGGGACTGGCACTAAAAACCCAACCAATCAGAAGCTTATCAGAAAGGAGCTGACCACCCTGGAGGTGAGCGTGGAGTCTCCCAATGGAGAATTTGTGAGTGCCTCCAAGGCTGCCTTTGGGAGGGACACTTGCTTGTGGCCAGGGTACCCATCAGTCTGAACACAATGATCTTTAAGAATACATGACTTAATACACTTCTTAATTAACCCAAACACCTTTTCTGCTTTATAGTCTGGCTTACAACGTATCTTTGCTAAAACAGACTACGGAGACAGCACAGTGTGAACTGTCAGGTGCCCTGGGCAGTTATATTTCTCTGTAGAAATAAATGACCCAGCATTTGACCAGGTCATTTATCAGCCTCCCATCAATCTGATTGACGCTGACCAGTCTTAACTCCTCCAAGGGCCTTCTATGGGCCAGACCTGTGTGTGCTGTTTATCTGTGAGCTTGCACAAGAACAGGTTTCTGAACATTCGCATGTGTGAATCAGAACCTTGAACTTGTACCCTGGAGACCCAGGTTATGCGGGATGACTCTTTTAACTGCCTTGTAATCAATCACACAGCTCCAAGCCACACACACTTCAACCTTCATGGCAACATTTTTTGGTCCACCCTGTAAATAGCCAACCCATACCAGGTGGTTCACTGTATACCAGGCACTGGGACAAGCACTGTATATCTCATTTAATTCTCAAAATCAGCTCCATTATTTTTGCTATTTTACAGATGAGGCCACTGAAGCTGGGAGACGTGGGGTAGCTTGCCTTGTCTCAGGGTCAGGAAGCCGTGTTGGAACCTGATCAGCCTGAATCTAGTGCCTCCTCTTCTAATCAATTCCCCAAACAATACCCGACCTGGTTTCCCTGCCTTCACTTCACCCAACACACAGCACCTACAGAACAAAGTGACCTTTCTAAACACAAAGTTCATGTCATTTTGCGGGTTGAAATCCTTCAAGGACATGCCTCATCACCAGCACGATTAAGGAGCACGTAAGGCATTTAGTAACCAGACTCCTGCCAATTCTCCCCGTCTCGTCTTCCACCTCTTCCTCCCCATCCCATTCCAGGAACTTTCAATGCTTTGCTCTCGCATCCTTCGGATCTGTACTATCCCTTTCCAGCAGTATCCTCTAATCCTAAAAGCATTCTTACCCCGCCTCCCTCCGCAGCATTACTTTTATTTAATGCTGAATTACAACTCTGAATTATGTCAACTAGAAAGTGAACTCGGTGAAGAAAGGACACATTTCATAGGGCAGCTCCAACTCCTGAAGAGTCAGAGATATTCATACATACATTCTGAAGTTCAACTCTTCCTCCTAACAGTCTCATTCACCCTCCCGCTAGCTCCTCCCCATCTACTAGACCCAAGAATATTCTCCGGTTTTGGCCAGAAGCCCTTCCACCTCTTGCCCCATGTCCTTCTTGGGCACTCACCCCCTTCCCTAGTCCTCCTGCGGCTCTAGCGACTGCTCTCAAAATACAGGCACACATTTCTTCTGCAAAAGTTTACGATCCCAAGTACTGCGATAACAGCAGCGAGGAGACCCACGGTTCTACCCTCGCCCCCACCGAGCGACCCGGGCCTCCGTCCCGCAGTTCCAGCTCCCCCTCCCCCAACCCGCCGAACATCCAAGGTCCGGGTGTTTCGCGCCGGGACGCAGCGGCCGCAGTACCGGCCTTCATCACCATGAGCGGCCAACCACGGCTTTCCCCCAATCGGTCGCGGCTGCTCCCTCCAGGACAGACTCGGAAGCGCCGGCTCCGCCAGCCTGTGTCTCCTCACCATGGTGGCGGTTTTGATGGCTCCGATTCCCGCCGGATTCGCCTGGGTTTAGGCCTAGTCGCCCTCCGGCAGGCCGCTTCCCGCCACTGTTGCCGGAAATGCGGGTGTGGGGAAAATGGTGTCGGGTGGGAGCTACTTCCGGTCCCAGAGCCGGGCCGGAAGCTTGTTAACTCGCTGTGCTCAAAGTGGGGCGGGGCTTGGGGGAGGGATTTGAATCAAACTTAACTTCACTTGAACCGCTTTTTACTCTCATTGCCCCCTAGCCCGTCCCGGTACCGGCTCCGGCTCTTTAACTCGAAGTCCGCAACTCCCGCCACTCTACCCTGGCTCTATCCCGTACAGCCACTGTCTCAGTTTATACGTGAACTTGCTCGACGAGCTCCTGCCTCAGCAGGTACGCATTTGCTGATGTCTCTGCCAGGAATGTTGGTCCTCCGGGTGTGTGCACCGCTCTTGCCCTTACCTTCAAGATTCAACGTTTTCTCACTGAGGACTTACTTCCCTGGCCATCCTATTTAAAACTGCAATCTTCCCTTTCTCTATAACATTAATAGCTAACATACTATATGTTTTTGTCATTTTGTTATCCCTCCCCATTAGAATGTAAATTCCAACAGCTGGATTTGTGTGTGTTGTTCACTGCTGTGCCTAGAAACTGCTTAGCACAAAACAACGGCTTAATAAATATTTGAATGAATATTTCCCAATCAATCCCGTCCAGTTCTGTGACTTTTGAATGCTACTACACGCTCAGCTTTTTCAAATTTATTCCTTTAACCATGGGCTTGTCCGTTTAACTCTTGGCTTTAATATCCAGCCACCTGCATGAATGTCTACTAGGTATACTAAATTTAACTATGAAAATTAATTTTTAATACATGTGATTTTTTAAAAAATTATTGATTGATTTTGGGGGCTGCAGAGAGAATTTGTTGTTCCACTTATTTATTCATTCCTTGGCTGATTCTTGTATGTGTCCTGACCAGGGATCGAACCCTCAACCATGGTGTATCAGGACAATGCTCTAACCAACTGAGCTACTTGGCCAGGGAAAAACTACATTTTTTACTCTATTCACTCTTCTTCCCAAGACCACTTCTTACCAGTGTTCCCCATCTCAGAGGTTTCGCAGGTTAAAAATCAAAATGGCAAATTTGGCAGCATTCTTGACCCCTCTCTTTCTCCCATGTCACAATCAGCCAGCAAATCCTCGCCTTCAAAATGTTTTAGATCTGACTGTTGTCACCTACCCCCTCTGCTACCACTCTAGTCCTAGCCACCATCACCTCTGTCTTGGATAATTGAATGAGTCCCTGACTGGTCAGTTTGCTTCCTCTCTTGCATTCACAGCAGCCAGAGGGATCCTTCTATAGCGTGATGGGATCATATTAGACAATGTCATTGCCCTGCTCTCCACTTCCCCATAACTTCCCAGAACAAGTGCAATACAATCCAGCCCTGCAACCCTTTCCAACCTCATCTCCTCCACCATTCCCCTCATTCATCCTCCTCCAGTCATACTGGTCTCCTTGTTGTTCCTCAAACCTAGCAAGGAAAGCTTCCACCTCGAGGCTTTGTGATTTCATCCTCACACTACCCTAAAATGTATGTTATGTCGTCCCAGCTCTGTCGATCTGCAGATGATGAGATGGAGCCTCAGAGAGACAAATTATCTTGCTCACGGTGGCAAAAACAGGAATATAGTACTATCTGATACTAGCCTACCTCCTAACAAATCACTCACGCACCCATTTTAAAATGTGTTTAGTACCTACTGAGGCCATGCACTGTTACTGAGATACAAACTCCCTTCCCTGAAGGACTTTACGTTCTAGTGAGAAAGACAGACAATAAACCAAATGCATAGGTTAGAAAGTAACAGTGATTTGTAGAAAAGAGAAAAAGCAGGGCAGAGGGACCGAGAGTGATGGGTTGTAACTCTGGCCGATGGTCATGGGAAGCCTCTCTGAAGATTGCATGTGAACCAAGACCTGAATGAAGGACATTTGGACATTTCTTACAAAGGAATTCATACAGTACATGGTCTTTAGTGACCGCCTTACCTCACTTGGCATATTTTTAATTTTTGTTTATTTTATTGTTTTCCCATTACCATTTAAACCCCCGTACCCTCTTCCACCTCCATATACCCACCCCACCCCTCTCACTCAGCATAATGTTCTCAGGGTTCATCCACATTGCAGCACATATCAGTTCTTCATTCCTTTTTTTATCGCTGAACACTATGTCATTGTATGGCGATACCACTTTTGTCTACCTGTTCATCAGTGAATAAGACATTAAGTTGTTTCCGCCCTTTGGCTATTATGAATAATGCTGCACCAAACATTTGTGTGCAAGTTTTCATGCTGACACACGCTTTCATTTCTCTCGTGTTTGTATATACCTACGAGCGGAATCGCTGGGTTGTATGGTAATTCCGTTTAGTTGTTTGAGGAACTGCCAGGCTGTTTCCACCAGCAGTCTGTGAGGGTGCTGATCTCTCCACTTCTTCACTGACACTAGTTAGTAAGTGACCTAGACTGAGCCATCCTAGGGTATGTGACTGGTATTTATCACATTGTGGTTTTGATTTGCATTTCCCTGATGACTAATGATGTTGAGCATCTTTTCATGTACTCACTGGCCATCTGTGTATCATCCTTGGGTTATTTGCTTTTCTTATTGAGTTGTAAAAGTTCTTTTTGTGTTCTAGATACATGTCCTGTATCAGATATGACTTAAAAACACTTTCTCTCATTCCATGAGCTGTCTATCAAGAACATGTGTGAATACACCACCTTCTTGATAGTGTCCTGCACAATGGTTTTTAATTTTTATGAAGTCCAATTTATCTCCTTTTTCTTTTTTTGCTCATGCTTTTGGTGGCATATCTAATCCTTTGCCAAACCCAAGAGCATGAAGATTTGGCCCTATGTTTTCTTCTTCTCAGAGTTTTATAGTTTTAGTTTCTTACATTTAGAGCACAGGTGGCAAACACAAGGCCCATGGGCTGAATCCAGCCCTCCACTTTGTTTTATCTGGCCTGACACCTTGTTTCTACCCAGTGGCAGCACCGAGCTCTCGCTTAACTGTTAAGGAGTAGTTCCATTTACACAGTCCTAAAATTACATTCCACCTTTTGAAGGCAACCGTGAGGCTGATGTGGCCCCCCATGAAAATGAGTTTGACACCACTGATTTAGTTCTTTGATACATTTTTAGTTAATTTTTACGGATGGCATAAGGTAAGGGTTAGACTTTATTCTTTGGCAGGTAAATATCCAGTTGCCCCAGCTCCATCTGTTGAAAAAATTATTCTTTCCCCATTGAATGGTCTTGGCACCCTTGTGGGAATCCGTTGACCATGGACACATGGTTTTACTTCTGACTTCTCAATCCATTTCATTGATCTATACGTCTATCCCACTGTCAGTACCACCACTTTGCAGTAAGTTTGGATATCAGAAAATGTGAGTCCTCCTGATTTGTTTTTCTTTTACAAGATTGTTTAAGCATTCCAGATCCCTTGCCATTTCATCTAAATTTTAGAATCAGTTTGTCAGTTTCTACAAATAAGAAAAAAAAGAGGTGATGAATTCCAGAACACGGGGTTAAGTGGGCTACTCCCTGGGCCTTCAGTTAAGCGGCCCCAAGGTTCAGTCCAAATCAGTGATTTTCATCCTTTCTCATCCGATGGCACACATAAACTAATTCCTAAAATGATGCTGCTCTGACAAAAAATAAGATAATTTTTATTCATTCATACAGGACGGCTATTGTTGTGCTAAGGGAAAAAGAGGTCAGTGCCCCTGACTAAGTAGTCAGATACTGCATGTTTTAAAAACCCTCATGGCACACTGGTTGAAAATCACTAGTATAGGTCAAGGAGCAGCCAACTTTTTTTGTTAAGGGTCAGACAGTATTTCAGGGTTTATGGGCCATATGGTCTCTGAAGCAGTTACTCAACTCAACCAAGATACCATGAAAGCAGCTATAGACAATATGACAAATGTGGGTCCATGTTACAATAAAACTTTATTTATGGACACAGATATGTGTCCATAAATATTATTCTTCTTTTGACTATTTCAACCATTTAAAATGTAGAGACCATTCTGAGGTTGCCAGCCTTACCGAAAAACAGGGAACAGGCCATATTTGGCCTTCAGGCTATAATTTGCCACCCCCAAGTCTAGACCGTTAGATTTTTGTGTTTGGGTTCAGGGCCAGAGCCCCAGCTGATGTTAATAATAACCTTGACAAGCATTATTTCTTCGGGTTATGGGTTCACTGAATAATGCCATCAAAAGTTTGTGTCGCTGCCCTCATATGAAAACTACACACACAATTCACCTCTGTGTCAGTCTAGGTCCAATGAGGAGACAGACCACACAGTAATTTAAATGGGAAATTTAACGTAAAGAATTATACAGTGACAGGACAGTAACTAATAAATATTGAAACACTCTCAGCCAAGGGAGAGTCCTCAGGAAGGATCAACAAGGAAGAAGGGTTCCCTCCCCAAGGCTGGGGTTCAGCCCTCACTGGAGGTGTGGTTACAGCCCACTGATGGTGGAGAAGTGGGGGTGGGGGTGGGGGATTGCACAGGCCAGAGCTGGCAAGCAGGATAACCCTCTGGAATGCAGGCTGGCCAAAGGTGGTTGGGTGTGGACAGAGAACCGAGATGTTGCTATTGATACCAAACATGGACCCCGCAGTGTCTGTTCCCAAAGGGCTACATCAAATGAACCTATGAGGCACAAGTGAGATGGAGGCCCTCGCCAATGGGCAGGTGAGCGGGAACGTCGGAGCACAGCTATGGGCACTGCTGGAAATGCAGACTGGAAAGCTGCAGGGACCCAGTGTGCTTTTCTGCACAGCCTGGGCTGGGGCAGCTAAGGAGAGACCCTGGTGTGCACGCACGTGGAGCTGAAGAAAAGGGCTGGGGAGTTCTGGGCCTCTGCAGGAGATGAAAAGTCAGGGGATCTGCTTGTCAGGAAGCCAGTCCAGTAGGACCCCGGATTGTGTGCCCGTGGAGATGAAGAGAGGGTGTGGAAGCAGTGACCTGTGCTGTTTGGGCTCCTGACTATACCACCACTGCCTGAGCGGACCACTGAAGAAAACACAGGGTGGC